AGGGGAGGGAGAGGGGAGGGGAGGGGAGGGGAGGGGAGGGGAGGGAAAGAAAGGTCTTATCAATTCTTGGACCCCTAGGACAGACTACTCCTCTAGCGCTTCTCATCTTTGGATCTTTGGTCCCCAGCTGGGCTGCAGGCCGGGGAGGGCACAGGCAAGGTACCTTGACCCAAGCCCAGATACGAAGACAAAAGGCAAGAGGGACCCAGAGGTCTGATGTGACCCAACCCAGCTGGAAGTGAAAAACCGATACAGTGGAGGTGGCGGGCAGACAGTCTGGAGGACAGACCCAGCAGGCGACACACCCTGTGCCCAGCTGAGGGCTCTTCAGGCCCTTCTGCAGCCCAGCAGGGGTGTCCAGAGGCGCTTCCTCAAGCCCAGAAGGTCAAAATGCAAGAGGGGAAAAAGAAAGCAAGATGTGGCCCTGCTGGGGGAGAGCCCCCAGGGTCAGTCCTGAGCTTTGGGTTCTGGTCCCAGGACTGCTCTCACCAACACTGTGACCTGGGGAAATCTCTGGCCTGTTTCTCCATCTGTAAAACAAAGGGTGGCCCTGCCCACGGACCCTTGCCCCGCAGAGCCCTTGCTTCTGTGGAGGGGAAGAGGGGTCACAAGAGGCAGCCTGGGCACCACGCACCTTCCTCACCCCCACCGCGTGGGCATTACCCTACCGGTCCTTTCCAGAGCTCCTGCATGACCTTCTGTGAGACAAGACAGCGTACAGCTAGACAAATGTTTGGAACCTGCTGGCCTCAGTGCTCATGGGTCCATGCTGGCAGGCCAGAGGCCATGTTGCCACCCGCCGGGGCCAGGGGGCCACTTACCACCAGCTGCACATGCTTGGCCAGGTGTGCCACATCCATGACAACTACTGCTACCTTGATGAAGCCCAGCGCCGATTTGACCACATCACGGGTACGGGAAGCCAGGAGCAGGCACACATTCTCCAGCAGCTGCTCTACTGTGTTGGTTCCCATGAGACCTGGGGTCACCAAAGGGCCACCGTCAGAGACACTCAAAACCCCATCCAGACGCAACACCCCTGGCCGGTCACATGCAGAGGAGCTAACATCTGTGGGACTTCTGTGTGCCCAGCACGATCCTAGTCACTCTCCCTAGAGTACAGCCATCCTGTGAGAAGGTAGTTTTTCTCCCCCACTTTAGAGATAAGAAACGGAAGTTCTAAAAGGTTCATAAACTTGCTCAAGGTCTGGCACGGTTGGTAAGAGGCGGAACCAGGACTGACACCTGGGCATGAGACTCGAGCTCCTCCGATCCACCCTGACAGTGGCATGCAGGTAGGCAGGGAAGATGACACGGGCAGTGGAGGAGACAAGAGGCAGCCAGGCTTGCTTTTGGTTCTTCTTCCCTCCCCCAAGGAAGGAAGGTGGTAGCTCTCCCATTCTGGTAGTGACCCTGTCCTGACCTTCTGGGCATCCTCCTACGCCAAGGGTTCCCCAGGCCTTCAAGGAAGCAGCATTCACCTTTAAACTCAAACAGGAGGTGGGTCAGGGCCAGGATGCTGCAACTGACCATGGTCACAGCGCCCACAAGGCCAGGGTACACCAGGACGAGGTAGCGTTGCAGGGCCTCTGGAAGGCGAGATAAGGATAATCACATCCGGGCAGAGCACTCTGCATGCTGCACGCTGGGCCCCTCAGGGAAGGGATTCTGGCCAGAGAGGAGCAGCCTGCCCAGGTCCGCAGCCAGTGGTTTGGAGGGGTGCCTCCCAGAGGCCCATGAGCCAAGCACCCATCCCGGCCCTGGGTCATCCACGCCTTACCTTCTTTGTTTGGGCCAAACCGGAGGAAAGCATGGCCCATCTCCACCAGCAGGGCAAAAGCATTCTTCCGAGCACCCACCGACACCTCCTTGGTACACAGGATTACCTGCCCAGACAACCCCTTGAGCATGCGCTCTGGAGCCGGCCACCATGGGCTTGGTTGGTGGCCCGAGGCAGAAAGGGGCAGGGGGGCACCCAAGCTCACAGGCGGAGAACTGAGGCCACCCCAACCCCAATACTGTTCTCCCCTGATCCTGACAGGTCTTCAGAAGCCAACTCCAAGGAATTCCTCAAAACACACACACCCCTCACCTCCGGGACAAGGGCAGCGATGAACTCCTCATGCTCA